ATACATAGAAATACTATGATTGCAAATTCCAGTAATGATTTTGAGAAAGGAAAACTTCAGGAAGAATAAAACATTTAAAAAAATAATCACATTTTATTAATCTTCGTCATCTGTAATTAATATACCATCTAAAAAGAAGCAGTGGTTTGGTGAATCGAATATGCATCTATAATTTGGTAATTCCATAAGATTATGGTTTGGTGATGGGTTTGCTATTCCAGCTCCAGCCCAAGAACTTGATTCAGAACTAAGCAGTACTGAACTTGCTGGAACCGAAGAATCTAACCACTGGATCCGGTACAAGAAATGTATTCCTGTAAGACAAATACAATTGGAGGTATTTCAATTATGTCGTCTTGTAATGGATTGTTTTCATAGGCTCTCATCCAACAAGCATGGCATACTCAAGCTTCTGCAGGAACCTGAAAATTAAGGAAATGTTTTATTTCTTTTGTTCTAGGTTAATCAGACATAAAATATAAACTGTTGGTCTAATATTTCAAGAAGAAAGTACACCAATGACTTCTTTCAGAAGTTTTAGTCTTGCCTGTCCATCAAAAGTTTGTCTTAAATATCTCTTCTTTTCATGTTTCAAAACAAATCTGTATGATATAAAATGCAAAAAATCAAATGGCTAAAATATAATATTATACATACAGTATGTAGGAAATATTTGGTTCTCTATATAAGTTAGGTGCTACACTCCTCGATGGCAGTCTGTGACGACCCCGTCCACTTTGTGTAGATAGTGATACTCCACAGCACACACAAACACAGGAGTGTCCAATCTCCCTCTCCGAGTGATGACTAGCGTCCTCATCACGATTAGCTGCCTCTCTTTTCACAAGCATTAGACATGCCTGACATAATTGATCATTAACAGACACCTGTAATAAGAATTTTATAGCATTGTTAATGGTCCTCTAACAGGAGTACATACACTATGGTATTTAAATAATCTGCACTTACCACACCATTCTTCAACAATAGATACAAGTTCTGAACTTAGATTAGTAACATTGTATTCATGTAATTTTATATTCTGCCCCAACAGTATGTGGCAATTCACACACGCCATGATATCTGAAACCACATTATGATAAATGAACAACAATTTGTGAAAAGAAAGTGTAAGAGAAAAGTGACTCTGTCTTCTTTTTAATTATTTTAATTTAATTTTTTAGTTATAAGTTTGAATTCTAAATTGAATCTCAGAACACGTATTATTTATTTATCAAGAACTCCGGTGAAACTCCAAGAAATGTAATAAGTAATTAATAATTATCTTATCTCTCAGTTTTACAGCAGGTAACAAAAAAGTATTAGTAGATTAATTAAGCAGTTAAGCAGTGAATAGTTTTCGAAAAGATTTACTTACATTGACAAAAAGTCGTGATATCCGACCGGGGCAATTAAAACTCCAAATAATATGCAAACGGGAATCCAGAAGACACAGCAGGGGTCAACAGAATAAGCGTGAATATCGTTGTCAATTTACAGTAGAAAAGATCAAATAAATATAAAAATAAACAATAACGCGAACGAAAGAACTACCAACAGAAACAAACAAAGCCGAAGGAACTCATTTTTTTATGTGTCAAACGCACAGAATATCAGTGATGTGTCTTAACTAATACAGTCAGTAATCGATAAAAGAAGATAATACTATTCGATTATATATTCAAGATTATATCAAAATAAAACTGATCATTATTTTTGTAGTATAGGGTAATATTGTTCCACTTTTGTTTAAAAATCATAATGGTTTTTAAGTTAATAGATTCATAGCTAAACGTTGCTTATAAAGCTACGATTATTTATGATAAACAAAAGACAGAATCATGATAATGCAGATTTGTATAAATGTAAACACAAAGTCTACAAGATATTGACTTCATAAATTCTTACATATTTACTTTGCACGATTGTTAATTGAATAATTTAAAATTAATAACATATTGCAATATAATGCAGGGAAATCATCAACTTCCTACCTTCATCATCACAGGCTTTTTAATCCGACCTAATGCTGGGACACAAGGCCTCTCCTTGTTAAGAAAGTAGGTTTAGTCAGTAATCCACAGCGATTGCCAAATGCAGATTGGTGGACGCAGAATAAGGTGGTAAAAACTCCTGAAGTGATCCATTAGTCGCCTTCTATGACACCCATAGAGGAAACGGGGTGATGTTATTGTACTACACTTCGCCGGCACTTCCTTATTTTAGCTTTGATGCAATATGAGTATAGATAGATTTGTGTCATCTTCTTACTCTGCACCCAATTCAAATGGAGTCAGTATCTTGATATTGACAACGCTGCAGATCCTATAGTTTTGTCATTTCGATTTTTATGGCCTGCTTGACACCAACCCTCGGAAAACCCCAAAGGCACGATTGATATCTATGACAGCAGTCAGATTACATTTTATAATTGCAATTGACATTCATTAATAGAATGAGCATAAAAAAGCGATTACCCAATGAAAAATATCGATAATCGATAATAGGATTTGCACTATCTGCATATTTAAGAATTGTGTACAATGCTGCCAGATTAATTATTTCCTGGAACTTTGATAATTAATTACAAAAAAACGGAGGTGCAAAAAAATCTGAAAAATTAGCAAATGATTTAAAAAAATATGAACTTTAAGTGGTATAAATGCCAATGCTGCCGGTTACTCACTACCACCTCCCATACAAAACTATACCGTCTCCTTTAAAAAGATCATAATAATAAAATGAATATGGCTAAATAGTTTCTTAGCTGAACATATGCTTTGGTGGTTTTCCAATTACAGCACTAGAGCGCATTATGCGGCATAATGCTTAACGTTGAATGTTTCAACTACAGCATCGCTTCGCACAATCGAGCACTCGCAAAAGTAATGTTTTCGTGTGATGCGTGCAATCGTACCAATTAAGTGACAGAAAATTAAGTGTTTTTTCTTTAAGTTGGCATTGATCGAAATGTTTTATTTATCGTTAGTATTATTATTTATTGTTGAAAGAAATTTTAAAGCTTTCGTTTCATTGTAGCTTTTTTTAAATAATCAAAGTAAATTCAAACTGTGTTAAAAAATAAGTATGAGTATGGATGGAGGTAGAAACATTCTTTTTTTTCAACACTGAATTTAGCGCACGCTGCTGGTGCATTTGAAAACTAATTCACGTTTCAATTAGGCATCAGCATAATTCGGCATTGTGCGCCACTGAGTCACATTATGCTCTGTAATTGGAAAACTACCTTTATATGCGAACAACTTTTGTCAACCCTATTCAATGCAAATAAAGAGTATTCTATTCTTAAATAAACTAAGACTAAATACGCAGTGCTTTTCCCCTGTTCATCCTGTTCTGTGTTTATTATATAAAAAATGGGTGCGTGTACTTATGTAGGCGCGTGAGAAGTTATCCTTCTTTGGCATCGTTTAAAATTAGTTTTTAATTGCATGCAAATAATTAATTACAATAAATTAATAATAAATGTCATTTCATTTCATCTCATTTCATCTCATTTCATCTCATTTCATCTCATTTCATTTCATTTCATTTGTGTCCCGTTCAAATCTGCCCTGTTTGCTTTGTTCAAATCTGCCCCACGGTCACTTGGAAAATAAAATATTACAAATAACGCGCCCGCGGCTAACTTCATTATGTTAAAATTTTGTGTTACAGTGATGAAAATTTCACTCTCATAATTTTTTCATAACGCGGCTAAAGAAGTATAACTTCAAAAAATACAATTTTTATAACATTTTTATTTTAAGTACCAAGTAACTGCGGGTTACTTTGACCCAAAATATGCTCTTTTTTTTCAAATAAAATTGTAGCTCCTCTTTGTGATGAATATGTCACGTCTATATCTTTCCATTGTGAACTTTAAAGTATAAGTTACAAAGTTATCATACAAAAATAGGAAAAAATAATATTTAAGGGTTCATATATATTTTTTTTAATTTTGGGCCAAAGTTGGCCTTAAAGAGGGTTACTTTAGCTCGTTGAGTTTTCTCTGTGAAAAAAACTCATTTTAAGCCATGTTGGGGTTAAGTAACCCTTATAACAGATCACCATTAGCATACTGAATACACAAATGGATGTTTTTACCCAAAAATAATTAAGTTAAAGAAAAAATTGTAAACTTACCGAAAACCACAGTTATGAGAAAGTTTGCGCATGAACTTGCGAACTATTTCAGTTACAAAAAATCCCGCGTTACAATGACAACTTGATACAGGAACGATGTCGGTAAAACAACACCACACTACGCGCCTATATGGCTATCTGTGATTTTCAACTGGAACTATTACGATCACCCAAGAGATACTGATGGGGCGGCAAGTTCAATATTTTTTCTGATTTGGGACAAAGTTACCCGCCCGAGCTAAAGTAACCCTCACTTACGGTATTTATCTACTAAATGTGATGTAATCTTATTTTGGCTAAGAACTCACGGAGCGCCGCACACACTTTTACATACGTACAAACGCGAGCTGTGATCCCATAGGCAAGGTCGGCGCGAGAGAAAATCACGCTGTGAGTTCTTAGTCTAAATGTAAAGAAAATTATACTAGAAAAAAAAACATGCGGTCTAGGCAGCAGATGGGACTCGATCCCGCATCCTTCGCTATCCGGGCGGATGAACTGACCAATTATGCTACCGCGACCTTAATGACCATGTTGAATTTCTTCAAGTACTTAAATAAAACTAGCTTTTACGGGTTAGATGTACTGAATTTAAAATAATGGACCCATAAAAACTAGTTTTATTTAATGAGTTCTGTGCGTGCAAACCTATGAAACAAATATTTCTTCTAGTATTTCTCATGTTTAATAATATAACGTGGCCGTGATTCTTTTCGGGCCAAACTTCATATTATTATTTAAAATAATATTAAGTCAAACTGCATATTAATAATTAAAACGTTGTTTTAACGATCTATTGTGAAATTGTTGACGGTCTGTAGTGTGTACCTACCTACATTTGTTTTGTCATTTAGGCGGGGGAGGGGCCACGGGCGGTGCTAAGAGCGGTGGTCGCGCGTCGCACAACTACCGGCCGCAACCCGCGCTGCACGACGTGCGCGCCTGGTGGGGCGCTCAGGCCGTCAGCGCGCACCCACACAACGACTAGACTTCGGTTGAAACTATACCAGCGTAATAAAATGTTATTGCATAAGGCACAATTTATGCCATCGCGGAATGGAATGGAAGCAAATTTTTGCAACGACATTGTGCATAGCATAATGAACTCCATTTCAATTGGATAAAATATGACCTATTAATGAGTGAAAAAAGATCCTCACATGCAGTCTTACTCCACAGGTAGGGTTACCAAGTTGTTGTCTATCAAATATAGTATTGTTACCTCTAAAAATATAGTAAATGGCAAAAAAATATAGTAGGTATGTGTTTTATTTTTTCTTTTATTTTAAAATGAATATGTTTTGCTACTCCACGCCTTACTAATTACATTTTTATTTTTAAGAAAGCTTTTACTGTTACATATCCTCTTTATGCAAAATATAGTAGGTTAGCCTACTATTGTTTTTTCAGAAAAATAGTATTAGATCCCTAATATAGCAGGATACTATATTATATAGTCGGGTTGGCAACCCTACCCACAGGAGTCATGACTCCCTACGTTACTCTATCTAGACGTCCGAGTTTATTCATTATTTGATTTTGTTACTCTATGATTATACCGTCTCCAAGCTTTATTTTTGGGTATTCCATTCTACTCGAGCTAGATCTCGCACTGTTAATAGATAATAAACGTTTTGTTTGCCCAGATTATATAAAGTTAACTTTTTATAAAATAAAACCCACTGCCAAATCCTTAATCGTAATCAAGGCACAGTAAAATATATTTAATTTTATTTGATGTATATTCTAAGGAAGACTGTTTGTTTAGATTAAAAAATATATAGGTACCGGTGTTGATTCTGACATGATTCTAAACCTTATTACAAAACGTAGACTAAAGTTAAACCTGAACTAAAACTGATGCTGTCACTTTTGTTTGCTAAACATAAGACAGAGACGACATAAGTTTAAAACCAAGACTAACTTACTTAACATCAGTCTCTCCTTTTCAGTTGATGGCGCAAGTCAATGGGGATTTGTAGAATAACACAGAATCTCAAGGATATACAGTTGTCAAATTTAAATTTAGTTAAGAGAGTCATGCCAGAATCGACACACTATCTTATTAGCCTAAATATAGTTTTAACAATATTCTATCAGTGTTATTTTTTAATGATGTAGTAATGATGTTATTTGTTATTATTACAAAATAAAAGTTGAATGTCTTTAGATTATTGTTATTATGTTATGTCTACAATTAGCGAATATGAATTTATTCAGTGTAGTGCCAAACATTATGTTTCTATAAGAGAAATAAAAGACAGTTCATAATAGATATGTGAAATCATAATTTTATTTCAATAAAATTAAAACATTATTGCAATTAAATTAATAATTAATTATAAGTATTTTCATAAATAAAAAAGGAGCCTCGATATATAAGGCGCAGGTGGTTAGCGCGTTCGGCCTGCGAGCGTGGAAGTTGAACAACTGTCTCAATGGTTGGTCATTAGATGGATCTAAAACCTATTTTCTCGAGCTACTCCGTAGGTCGGTAGGCACGTAAAGCCGTTGGTCCCGGCTGCATCTACAGTCTTTAGCACCCACCCATCCGCACTGCGTCCAAGTTGTGGGTCACGGCCCAATCTCCCTATTCCATACATAGGGAATGCCTGTGCCTCTGCAGTGGGGATATTAATACATTGAAGATAAAATTATAATAAATTGTTATAAATAGTGACACATGCCTAAACACAATAGAACTACGATGGCGATTGTTAGAAGACCGCAGATGTATCTGCCTGCAATGGGACAATGGAATAGTTTCGCTTGGAGACGAAGCGTAGACGCAAACATTAGCACGGTGATGATGTCTTCTTGCGACGTATCTTGGTGTAGGAAAGGGCGCACGCATAGTTCGTGCCCCACTGATTGAGTCTTGCGGCATTCGCTGGTCAACCGCGCTGCCTGAAAAAATACAAAACAAACTGTATTCCTACAAAATAAATAGGTAATGAAATATTTATTGTATATGGTAAGTAAGGTTAGTTAGGCAGAACATCAAATAGGCTATAGTAGAAGTGTTCAAATGATTCTCGCAACTTGTTGCGTGCAAGCGCGTGGGGCAGGGCAAAATGGATAAAGGTTGCCGTGTGTTATCGCTTGTTATCTAAACTCCTTTGACGCGCGACCATCTGAACTTAGCCTAAGAGTATATGGAAATAGATTCTCTCGCTAATGGAGTTGGTGCCGTGGATGTTCCACTAACTAAAGAATGAACTCATTGAATCTAACCAACTGTAAAATAATATTTGACGGATAAGTGTGAGAGCGACAAAGCAATTTGACGATGTATTGACTATTTTTCCCTACTTTTTTGAGAGTTATCAATTTCACGCGAGTGTCGCTCAATTCAGTCTATGCACCCGACAAGTGAATAGAAATATTCGAGCTTTAAATCAATCTTCTGAAAATGTTACGATATAAAAGACACACCTGCCCCTCTAGCATGACCACCGAAACGGGATATGATAAAGCGATATATCGACATTAACTGTCAGACTACTGTCAAACTCCATAGTAGTCTGACAGTTAATGCCGATACATCGCTTTATCATATCCCGTTTCGGTGGTCATGCTAGAGGGGCTGTACCCTTAGTACGAGATTGAGCTCACGAAAACTATCATAGTTTCGTAATTGTAAATTATGTTTCTATGTCCATTTTGGTGAAAATTAACCAAATATACTTAAAATTTAAGAAGACTCAATTGATTGAGGGCGCCACGACGGCGGTGAGCCACAGCGCCAAGTTAAGCGCACTGACGGCCAGCAGCGGGCCGGGGCGGAAGGGGGGGGGCGATACAATGGACACACCTGCACGAAAGGCGCCACGACGGCGGTGAGCCACAGCGCCAGGTTAAGCGCGCTGACAGCCAGCAGCAGGTCGGGGCGGAGGGGGGGGCGATACAATGGACACACCTGCACGAAAGGCGCCACGACGGCGGTGAGCCACAGCGCCAGGTTAAGCGCGCTGACGGCCAGCAGCGGGCCGGGGCCATACAAGCGACACACCTGCATGAAGGGCGCCACGACGGCAGTGAGCCACAGCGCCAGGTTAAGCGCGCTGACGGCCAGCAGCGGGCCGGGGCGGAGGGGGGGCGATACAAGGAACACACCTGCACGAAGGGCGCCACGACGGCGGTGAGCCACAGCGCCAGGTTAAGCGCACTGACGGCCAGCAGCGGGCCGGCGGTGACGTCGACGCGGTCGGCGCCGCATAGCCACAACGCGCCCGACGCCGCCCACGACACGTTCACCAAAGTGAACAGGCACACGGCCGGGGCCAACTCCTCGTTCAGATACTTCAACAATTTACGGAACTCGGAGATTTCCTGTGAAATCGATGAGCACATTATAAATAGAACAAGAGTTTTTTCTATGTTAAAGGGGTGGCAAACAACCGATAACAAAAATATCACACCTGGTGGAATCCTGGAACTTTACTTAGTGACAGAAACACAACACCGACCGCCAAAAGGTAGTGTTATTTTTACTGTAGTATTCTGTGAAATGGAGGTTACTTTCCTGGACGGGCGCTCCAATTCGAGCAACAAATCAGCTTGGCCCTACCTCTCTCAAGACTACACATCTATAGTTACAAGCGGGATTGCTATCAAGTTCCTTGTTTTTTGTGAGTCTCAAAGGTCATAAAAGGGAACAATCCCGAAAATAACTATAATGTTAGTGACCATGAAAGTTTAAAACAATAAGAGAACATAATTTCCTAATCCTAACTAATTATAAATGCGAAAGTGAGTTTGTTTGTAACGCTTTCAGACATAAACTGCTTAATTGCTTATGGTGCATTTTGCCAATAGACATGGGGAACCTATGGACACCCTATAGAGTATATTAGGATACTTTTTCTCGCAATAATCTAATTAGCATTTACCCCCTTATCACAGCAGGCGCTCATTGAGGAACATGAGGTGCGCCTGCAGGCAGTAGCTGGTGATGGCGGTGCCTGCACCATGTCGTGATGCCAATGAGTACATAAAACATGGCGACTGACCGACATCCAGTGGAGCGGAGTGATGGTGCGGTGCAGCAGGCGCTCTTGAGGAACATGAGGTGCGCCTGCAGGCAGTAGCTGGTGATCGCGGTGCCTGCACCATGTTGTGATGTCATAAGTACATAAAACATGGCGACGGACCGCCATCCAGTGGAACGGAGTGATGGTGCGGCGCAGCAGGCGCTCTTGAGGAACATGAGGTGCTCCTGCAGGCAGTAGCTGGTGATCACGGCGCCTGCACCATGTCGTGATGTCATAAGTACATATAACATGGCGACTGACCCTCATCCAATGGAGCGGCGTGATGGTGCGGTGCAGCAGGCGCTCCTTGAGGAACATGAGGTGCGCCTGCAGGCAGTAGCTGGTGATCACGGTGCCTGCACTGTCGTGATGTCATAAGTACATAAAACATGGCGACTGACCCTCGTCTAATGGAGCGGCGTGATTGTGCGGTGCAGCAGGCGCTCCTTGAGGAACATGAGGTGCGCCTGCAGGCAGTAGCTGGTGACCGCGGTGCCTGCACTGTCGTGATGTCATAAGTACATAAAACATGGCGACTGACCCTCATCTAATGGAGCGGCGTGATTGTGCGGTGCAGCAGGCGCTCCTTGAGGAACATGAGGTGCGCCTGCAGGCAGTAGCTGGTGACCGCGGTGCCTGCACTGTCGTGATGTCATAAGTACATAAAACATGGCGACTGACCCTCATCTAATGGAGCGGCGTGATTGTGCGGTGCAGCAGGCGCTCCTTGAGGAACATGAGGTGCGCCTGCAGGCAGTAGCTGCTGATAGCGGTGCCTGCACCATGTCGTGATGTCATAAGTACATAAAACATGGCCACTGACCGCCATCCAGTGGAACGGAGTGATGGTGCGGTGCAGCAGGCGCTCTTGAGGAACATGAGGTGCGCCTGCAGGCAGTAGCTGGTGATCGCGGTGCCTGCACCATGTCGTGGTGTCAATGAGTACATAGAACATGGCGACTACCCTCATCCAATGGAGCGGCGTGATGGTGCGGTGCAGCAGGCACTCTTGAGGAACATGAGGTGCGCCTGCAGGCAGTAGCTGGTGATCGCGGTGCCTGCACCATGTCGTGATGTCATAAGTACATAAAACATGGCGACTGACCCTCATCCAATGGAGCGGCGTGATGGTGCGGTGCAGCAGGCGCTCCTTGAGGAACATGAGGTGCGCCTGCAGTAGCTGCGCCTGTAGGCAATAGCTGGTGATTGCAGTAGCCTGCACCATGTCGTGGATCACCGTACAAGCCACTAGCAGCACGCGCAGCGCCATCGATACATCTCTAGATCTAACCAAACCACACAAATAAAAATATAATAAGCAAGGCAGGCGTCTTTTTTGGGTTGACTTTCATTTCTGGCGCTTTATATTCTTTCAGTCCAAAATGGGAGGCCATGTTTTATCTGTGTTGTAGGTATTTCCACACATCTACGCATTGTTATATCTATTCCAGGTGCACCGGGGCGTCAGGAGTAAACGAGATTGCTAATACAAAGTGTTGAAACAACATTCCTATGTTTTATTTATTTAAATGCATAATATGAATATTTAGTTTAGAAATTCTGTATGTTTCATTTTAAACTCACCTTGTATTCACCCATTTAAACATAATATCCCCTTGTGTGATCATAAAATTTACTGAACACAGCGATAAACACATCCAAAGCACGCCGAGAATAATGAAAACCCACAACATGCGTAAGAGTCGCTTCGGTTTATTTGTGGGCATTCCTTGTGGCGCGTACGATGACAATAAAAAAACCTGTAAGGAATAATGTAATATACTTAGTTTCGTAATATATTTGGGCAAAAAACATAAATAATTTACTTTACTCACCCTTTCCATCAAGTTTTGCAGCTGCTCATTATCAGAAACCCGAAACAAATATAAAGCATATGCAAATCCTAAAAAATGCAAAACGCTAGGACCAATGTATACTAAAGTAACATTCCCGTAACACACTTGTTTATACGTATCGTATTCCAAGGGTGAACTTAACGCTAGGGGAACCAATTTGTAGCAGAAGCTTCTGTCTCGTCTAAAAAAAGAAAAATCATTAAGAGTAATTCATGAATATATAACAATAAATAAATAAAACTACTCAATAGTAATAAATACCTACCTAAAACAAGCCATATACTGAAGAATATAGCCTGCAATCATAAACACTGCTATCTGAGCAGAATGAAAATGCGAAAGAAATATAGCACATTTTGAAGAGTTCGAAACGTCAACAACCGGACGTAATCCCATTATAGTCAGCAGTTTTAAATACGGTACCAATATCTGAAAACATAATTGACGAAAATTAACTTGGAAGGCGACAATCCTACTAATATTATAAATGTGAAAGTTTGTATGTTTGTTACTCAATCACGCAAAAACTAAGGTACCTGATACAAATAAGGCCTGTAGTGCAGTAAAGTCTTTTAAAATATGTTTACATCAAAAATACTTTACATACGCATAGATGATAGTTCTACAACTCGGCAAACTGTGCACGAGCGGTCCGCTAGAGCTCATAGCGGCAGTAGTGGCGATACTTTGTGAAGGACGAGCTTTTCATAGCGCGATTTTTTTTTTATTTAATGTATACGGATCACAATATAACTAATCAAAAAGTTGACTATGACTTAAAATTTAACTTTTTAGAATATGCAAATTAAATACTACTTATAACTTTTATGAAGTTTAATGTACTAAATAAAGCCTACTTTTATAAACGGCCTTATTTTTATCAAAATATATTCATTTTCCAATATTTAATAATATTTACGAGAAGATATGTTAATTTGCTAATTTTTGTTGGTATGGATGTTTTTTTTATATTATTCTTTATCTCTTGTTTATATGCGACTTCAAATCTGATCAATTTAAGATCATTGTTATAGCAATTTAAGTAAAATATTTAGTAAAATAAATTAGAATGTTGTTCAAGTATACCATGGAAACACTTGATTAAAGGCTCAGAAATACATATTTTTATACAATTTATACTCTAATACCATATATAACTTTGCAATTAAGCTTTGTTAAGTTACTATGTTTTTAAAAGGCCTAAGGCTAAGGTTCCAGCTCTAGCTGTGCTCTCTTTAAGTGATTTCTGATTTTAAGTGATTTCTGATAATATATTGTAATATGTTTTCTTAATTATTTAAAATTTATGAACCAAGGAATAATGCCTTGCTTTTATTTATCATCTTCTTCAAATAATTTATCATGATATGAGTGTTTGAAATTAGGTAGGGCTTATTTGTATCACTTACCTTACTTAACGGATTGGATGTGTTACGCATATAGTTTATGACCTGGTCTGAGACGTAGGATATTTTATTCCCGGAAAAATTTGTGGTTCCTCAAAAAGATAAAGTTAACGTGGACGAAGTCGCGGGGGCCGCTAGTACATACATATGTACAGACCAGTGATTTTTCCGTGCATACGTAATTACTGTTACCCAAAACTTTAACATTTATTCAACTGACTTAGCTTTATATAGCTCGATATAAGATTCAATTGTCAGTTTGTAATATGTGTAACTTGATTTGTGGCTGTCAGAAGTATCAATAAAATAATGCGAGATTCACTATTAAAACTTACTTGGACGAGTGTCGGTTTCATCCTCCCCTTTTCTTTGTTTGTTGTATAAAACAGGCACCAAAATATATATTTATGAACCCCTAAATTCCGCCCGCGTTAACTTTAGTTTTTTTTAAACCACACAGGAACCTGTTACGATTTTTTCAGGATAAAAAGTAAGTATCATAATATCTCAATCAAAGTAACAAACTTATGTTTGTCAAATTTCTTCCAAATCCGTTAAGCCGTTTTTGCGTGTCGTATTTATAATATTTGTAGGACTTAATAATTCATCATCATTTCATCCTAAATAGTATGAATTAGAAAATAATTTATGACAAAATAGCTTCAAAATAGGTACAAACTGGCATCAGTGGATTGGTGTTTACTATCACGTTATCTAATGCCTATTTTTTCCATATTTATTTTCTAAAAATCATAATAATCTTTAATTATTATGATAAATAGCTATATTTTTTGTTATCTGTATATCATAGTGCATATTTGGAAACTGTTACCCATCCGATTTATTGTTAGTTGACACAGGCCTAATAAAGGTATTATTTTTGCCTTTAAAATTAAACATATTGTATTTCAATGAAAAGAAGTAAGTAAATATCTACATAAATAAAATCGCAACTCACCTTCGATTTACAATAGTGTAAAATTGCAGAAGTGCTCATATATTCAGTATCTGGCGATTCAGTTATTTCTCCAATCTGAAAATTAAAAAGAAAACATTATATGTACTTACATACGTAGTACGTACAATGAGGTTATACCTACTAGCGGCCGCCCGCGACTAGGTCCGCGTTAACTTAGGTTATTTGAGAATCTTAGGAACCTAATATTTTTCCGGGATAAAAAGTATTCTATATCTCAATCCAGGTCTTAAACTATATGCGTATCAAATTTCATCCAAATCCGTGCAGTGGTTTTTGGTATACAAGTAACAAACAAACACACAAAAACTTTTACATTTATAATATTAATTAGGATTAAAAAGAATAGATATCTGGATTATACTCGTATTTATAATATAGATCTACTATGTCAAGTAGAAACCATTTCCAAGTCTTCATTTTTTCTGTATCGCTTTTAAATTAAGAGAACCAACGATATTAGAAAAGAGAACACTAGTTGAGTTGGTATTTTTATAGAATGTTTGTAAAATATCTAGAAGTCTGTTTTTAAAAAAAAATATACAACTAGCGGCTGCGCGTCTTCGTCCGCGATAACTTTAGTTTTTGGAGAATCCCTCAGAAACTTTTATAGTACCTATTTATGATACATAAAGTCAAGTAAATAGTATAGACTTGACTTGAAAAGATGTCATTTATGTGACATTTCGAAGTCTTAAATTTTTTCTGAATCGATTTAAATAAAGAGAAAACTAAACTGAGTTGTTTTTAAATCTAAAGAAACCAGCTTTTATATTTTTATATCCCACTTGAGGCGGCTCGCGACTTCGTCCGCGTTAACTTTAGTTATTTGAAAATTCCTCAGGAACTTATCACTTTTCCGGGATAAAAAGTATCCTATGTCTCAATCCAGTTCATAAACTATATTATGCGTATCAAATTGCATCCAAATCCGTTAAGTATTTAGTTTTTGCGTGATTAAGTAACAAACGTACAAACTTTCACATTTTTGATATTAGCTTCAGAACACAGCAGAATTGAAGTTTTTATAGTACGATTTATTAAAAATGTCTAGCAGTCTGTTGTTTAAAAAATATACATAATACAATCACAATTTAAGATGACTAAGGCCTGTTTGCAACTGTACAACTTAAGTTTTCGTAGTATGTCTTTTAAGAAGGGAATATGTCACAAATACATCAAATTATAAAAATCTGTTTGACTCACATCGACACTGTTGCCGTCGAGATTTGATCTCGTCGATCTCTCCATCGCCGGCTCCTGATGCTTCTCGTTGCCCAGTACATGGCTGTCCAGTAGATCACTGGCTACATAATCGTTTAAAAAATTCACATTAACTAGTTTATTGCCCATATCTGTCCTATAATTACTCCATTGCACATTAAACGTTGATAAGTAATATATTGCGACAAACAACTTTAATTTCTAAATAAAGACGGTAATTGAATAAAAATCTTTTTAACATTTAGGATGCACTTACCACTACCGTACGATACATTGTCATTATGCATTATTTATATAAGGGTTGCTATTGTAAAATAATTATGTAGGTACTCCTAATAAAACCACATTCATCGCTCCTTTCACTTTATGTACTTCGTGAAACATAATAAAAAGGACGCACCTCCGCTCGCTTTGATAATAATAGTCAGAAGTTCGTCAACATATAAGTAACTGATAGGTATTTAAAAGTTGTCCTCTCCACACGCTCGCTCGGCGCTTCTTGTATTTAGTTCAGTCATAATATCTTTGTATTCAGTGATAAGGATATAAAAAATAAATGCGGTGGAAAAAAGTATAATAACAATGCATTTCAATGACTTTTCAATTTTACTAAATAAAATAGCTAGCTCGTAACAGGAATGGCTGCCGTTGACCATACTATACCTTTTTAAAATACCTACAACATTATGTAGTTTAGTTCAATTGCATTGCATTAAATGATAATCATTGCACGCGTAAACGAAGGTTCGAAATGAGTAATGAACTGAGATAACCCCTAAACGCTTTGATAAATAAGAATTAAAAACATTGTTTATATTTTGTACTTATGTTATGTTGTTGTATCTACGTAAACAAAAAAAAAACTATTATACCTTAAATAAATATTTATGTACACATATTTTGAATTTTACAATGAAATCATAATTTAAAACTTATCAAAACATTTTGGGCATTTTCTTTTTCAAAAGGAATCCTGTTCTTCTGACAATTTGTTTCCGTTCTTCGAAATGCTTCTTATTTTTCTTGAATTTATCGACTTCGGATTTTTTTCCTCTCATTGCGAATTTCATCTCCCTATTGCCCCCCGTGCCGGTGACTATTGTTGAAGCTCCTTCTTTAGAAAGTCGCTCGCCTAAACTAGCTTTGCTAATTCTATTTATACTCTTGACAATATTTGCTGCCCTTGGAGTTTTTTGTTTTGCAGATTCAGGATCGTCAGACTCAGATTGGTTCTCTTTTTGCCATCTTATCATTTTGTGTTGCTTCTTGACATCTTTTACCCACGATCTATCCTCATCTGAAGTTTCATCATCAGTCAAACTGTATAACTCACGATCTGAATCTTCATCCTCTTTATCTTGCGTCTAATAAAAGGCAAATAAACATATTTAACAATGGACATCATTAAAGTTAAAATTATAAAGCGATAATTTTTATAAACATCCCACTTACCACTTCCAAAGATTCTGGTTCCGATTTCTTAGTTTGATCTTTATCCAATCTGGACAGTACAGGGTTGAGTAGTCTATATTCATCTGCATTTTTATCCACTTCAAAATCAGGATTCTCAAACATTGCCTGAAGTGTTTTAGAGTTGCATTAAGTAGGTATCCCATCAATCTCTATATAATTCTTATGCAAAGAACTGTTACATGTCTGCTTTAGCCCCCCCTAGCATAAGCACCGCGTTATGAAATATAGCTCGGTTTTTATCACACTAAATTGTTAAATGACTATGGAGTTTGACTGTTAGATGCAAAAAAAAATAAAACGTGATATGATGTAAATTGTTGTGCTCTTGCTACAGGGGCTGTATTGTTAAAGTTGACTTTCTATCTTCTATATTCTATCTATTATATCGTAATCGTCATATGGTCACTTTCAATAATAAAACTTCAGTAAGAGGTAGGCCTACTACTACTAGAGCTTTGTTGCCAAAATATTTTTTTATTATTAATGGCGCGATTACACTTAATCGTTAGCCCAAATAAGAGTACCAATGGAACTCGGGCAAATGACTAAGTGTAAATAAACGGAGTCGAGTACGCCCCCCCGTATTCCGGTAGATTTCGTTTTGGTCACCCAACACTGTCTTCCAGCCCGTATTCCAGTTTAAATATTGCTTTGGGTGCCTGAATTCGAGTAATGTCTTTCCTGGACCCGAATACGGCTGAAAGACCCAATGTAATTAAGCCATAAAACTATAACAACAACTGTTTTCAAGTAACAAAACCAGATTATCCTTACCTTTTACTGGAGTTTCATTATTGAAACTGGCTGATAGTTGTTGATTCTATTCTAAATGACTTGACCGAGTTTTTAATGACTGATGAATTTTAGGATATATCGAAAACCAATTTTAAAGTATGCCCTTGCACTGTTTATCATTTATTCCAATTATTGCAATACTATTTCACAATTAGCTATTTAATACTAAATGGACTAAATCAAACCACCTATATTATTAATTTGCTTATTTGACTTAATCAGTATCAGCCAAAGTAATTTGCATATTATAAAAAAAGTATTTTTTACCTTGAATCTATCATCTTTAAGCAAATTGTTTGTTTGCTTCTTTTTCCGACCCTCACTATCCATAATTCGTGAAGCCAAATCTCTGTTGACTTTAGGTAGATTATCTTCAATTTTAAGCCTAGATGGCCTGTCTTGTTGAATTTTCTCTCGAATTTTGCGCTTTTTGTATTCCTCAAATGCAAATGGATCTGCTATCGATTTAGCTCTCTTATAAAGTCTTACATCTACAAAGAATCTGTAAATATATAAATTCATCTAAAGAAAATATAACTATAATATAAATAATATATATAATATAAATTCATGTTATAAACTAAGAAATAATGCATTTGTCAATGTTGTTACATTTATTAAAATTGTATTTTAAATTTATCTGCCTCTCAGTTACGTTTTCACGCAATGACACCTTGAATTGACGATGGGTATAACCATCTTTTTAACTGGAAAAATTAGCTTAGTCGCAGCCAAATAGGAATTACCTAAGATTGAAACAAAAAGGGAAGGTACGCCACTCTCGATTCAAAAGTGATCCTCTTAAATTGTGGTGCACGATCACAATTGACTATAGTCACAATTGGACATTTAAACACGCTGCATGTACACTCAATATAACAATATTGCGTATATTCTGTGTTATAAAGATAAAACAATGCCTTTGATGCTTTTATAAATAACACAAATAGTTCAAAATCAAATGCCTCGGCAACACTTCTCATTCGTAAAACTGTAAAAATCTTTTTTTCTCAAAAATCACGGTTTGTTGTCAATGTTATTTTCGTATTCGCCATTTTGCTATCAAGAAAAGGACAACAATACAGCTCAACCGTTCACACTCGGAAGCTGATTCGCCGTTTCGCTCGCTCTGCGTTGAAGCGTACAGTTCTGTTTCGCTCGCTCGCTAGAATGTTATTTACCGACGTGTGCGTGTGTGAGAGTTGCATATGTAGTTGAGTCGGATCATATTGTATTTGATGCTATAGTTCATTCGCGTTAAGAAAATAGTGACTCATCACCGACTGCCGGCCAAGCCACGCCCCCTAGCCAATTAAAACGCTAGAAATTAGTAAGGCGAGTTCACAGTGCTCAGTTGAAGTCAGACCTTCGAACTGATCGGTTGTGTATTTTGCGTACTACTTGTTTAAAATTAAATTTGGAAAATGGATATCTCACCTATTAAAAAAAATAAAAGTGGATCAATTATACATAGCGGAGAGAGACGCGTAATTTACAATGTTTATAAATATTTCAAACAGATTGATTTAAATGAGACTGTGGAGAGCATAGTAATTAAAACTGCAAGTGCATGCGGTGTGTCCGAAAACACTGTTTATAAAATTATAAAAGAACAAAAAGAAACGAATACATTGAAATCACCTGTGAAAAAAAGAGCTCGACTATCCACGGTCGATAAATTAGATGAACTAGACAAATGTGCAATAAGGAGAAAAGTACACTCTATATATTTAAATAACGAGTATCCAACATTGGACAAAATAATAACACTTTGCGAAGCTGATGAAGATATTCCTGTTTTCAAACGTACAACACTTCACAAAATACTGCACGAGCTTGGTTTTGACTTCAATAAACAAGATAGTAGAAAATTGTTAGTGGAAAGAGAAGATATTGTTTTATGGAGGCGAAAATATTTAAGACAAATAAAAGAATATAGAAACGCTAATAAAACCATTTACTATCTCGACGAAACGTGGGTAAACGCCGGACACGTAAAAACAAAAGTGTGGTTGGATACAACAATCAAGAATAAAAGACAAGCTTTCCAAGATGGCTTATCAACCGGCCCAAAAGCTCCGACAGGGAAAGGGAAAAGGTTAATTATATTGCACATTGGCAGCGAAAAAGGATTCCTGGAAGATGGTTTACTAGTCTTTGAATCTAAATCTACAAAAGATTATCATGAAGAAATGGATGGTGAAAGATTCCTTAATTGGTTCAATGGTATAATACCGAAGCTTGAACCAGGAAGTGTGGTTGTCATGGATAACGCTCCCTACCATTCGCCCCACAATATAATAAATATTTAGTAGATGAGACTGCTAAAAACAATGGCATTACAATTCTTCGTCTGCCGCCTTACCATTGTAAATTAAATCCGATTGAAATGGTGTGGGCCCAAATAAAAAATTATATTGCTGCGAATAATACTACATTCAAAATGAGTGACGTAAAAAAAAAATTTTATGACGCAATCGCGTTAGTAGACGCCAATCGGTGGAAGAAATGCTGCGACCACGTGATACGCGAAGAAAATACCATGTGGGGTTTGGATGACGTCATGGAACATGCAGAACAAAATTCATTCGTAATAAATGTAACGGGAGAATCTAGCGATACTGATTAGCGATTTAAGTACTTAGTTTTAAGACAATTTTGTATTTTTTTATTTTAGTACTTATTACGATTAATCCAAATATGTGTTACTCTACTAATATAGCGTTTAAGTTGACATTAAAAATTACCTTAATAGGAATATTTTAACATGTTTAAAATCATTGATACTTTATTATTTTTCTATTAAACTTATTTAATGTTTTGAAAAAAAATGTTTAATTTTTTCTCCATTATGAATACACCCTTACCCTGCAGTTGCACTGATGAGTCACTATTTTCTTAACGCGAATGAACTATAGTATGAGCGTACCGTATCTTTCCTTTTTATTAAAATGTAAGGGAATAACACTTTTAATGGAGACTGATTATTATGCCCAAATGAAGGTGCTTGTAACCATTACAATGTTATAACTATGAGTACAAGTTTGTAACAGTAAATATATAAATACGAGTTCCTGTAAAAAGTTTCATCAGAGATTTTTGCAAAATTGCAGTCTATTTGTTATGTTTCATACATTTTTTATAACGTTACTAACATTGTAATAACTGTATATCTAAAATTCACCAATACAGATTCAGCTATTTAATAAAACGAAAAACAACAGAGTGAATTTGACATTTATAATATTACCAGGGATCCATCTACATAAATAGATAGGTGATCAGTAATTACAACTATTTTCTAATACTGGCGGTCGCTCGCGACTTCGTCCGTGTATACTTTAGTTTTTTGAGAATCCCGCAAGAACATAACACATTTCTGGGATAAAAAGTATCATGTTTCAATCCAGATCATAAACTATACCAAAGGTGCCAAATTTCATTGAACATAAAAACTTTCACATTTATAATATTAGTAGGAAGTAGGATAAATTACCCATGCATATATGCTCTCAACAGATTAGTGCCAAGAAGATGATCCAAACCAAGTGATTCCAATTCCTGCTTTGTGATAAATTTATAGTCATCATAAACTGTCTGAGATGCCGAGCTTTCTAGCTCTTCTGTTAAATTGTCTAAGAATGCACACCACTTTGGAGCAGGCCCTGCAAATGAAAATATTATCGTTTTCCAAAAAAGTAATATCACCAATAGACAAAAAAGCTGGTAAGAACCACATTCATACTAACTCTATCAAGTAGGTACCAAATCTTAATTTAATGTGAAACTAGTTAAGTCATTATGTACTTTCAAATTAAAATGCTTGCTTTCTTTTTATATATTTTAAACAAAAACAAATATAAACTTACCCAATGATGGTATGTAATATATTTGCATTTTTTGATCTTCCACAGCCATCATGTTAAGACCAGTATTGGGGATCACACATAGATCGTTGAAATCAACTGATGATTCTATGCTTGTGTATTGTTTACCCTGTAATAATTTTTTAATTCAATATAATTCACTTTATGATGATTTTACAACATTACTTTATGTTTAATACTAATGTTATGAAACTTTGAAAAATTGTACTAATATAAGGAGGATCTTGATGGGTTAATGGAAACAATTTCAGTCTGTAATTATAAAAGCTATTTGCTTAATGCCTGTTAATAAGTGACCAAAATTTACTATCTCAAGCTCTTCCATACTTTAGAGGGCATGTCAAGATATAAATACTGGCTTCAACTACAGTAATTAGCGAACACTCATCCAAACAAGCCCCCATACTGCTTCTTGTCCTTTTCTGGCTTTTTCCATGTAGATAGATGATAAATATATTTCTGAGAAATAAAGATTGCTATTTTATTGCTATTATGCCACTGAAATATGTGGTTCACTGCCTGTTCAATGTAAGTGTTTTTTGAAAAATGGTTTGTAGTAGCATATTGTAAACATACTGTGTTTTTATTCCAAATCTTAAGAACTGTTGCATCCATTGAATAAACAAAATCCATTTGTTTGTGAAATTCCAATTTCTTGATGGGTATTTCGTTCATATGGTCCTTTATTAATAGTGGCTTACTTGATCTTATATCATATAACAAAACATGGCCAGTAGTAGTGCCTACACCCATTTTTAAAGGACCATCAAATTTCAGGGCACTAATTGCAGGAATATTGTTGTTTCTGAAAGTCAATTTATTTATAAGTAATTATTAAAATAAAAAAATAAATAATAGAAGTTCAAAATATACTTCAATCATAATAATAGAGACCTATACTCAGATTCTGTACAATGTAATGCACAGTCTAATATTCCTTGTCTAGACTTTGTGCGAGGATCCCATGCTTCCACATGGCCACTTTCAGTGCCCAGAATGAGTAATCCATGTTCTTCATTTACAGCACACACATTTATTTCACTTGCCTTTGTAGAAAATGGTGCTAAAAATTGACCCAGTTCTAAGTTCAATCTGTACACTTCCTGAAATAATGTTAAATTAATCAGCAAAAGTATTACATACATGTTACATAAAATATTAGTTGAATAACTTACTGATGAAGCACCAACTACAAACAAGTCACATGATGGCTTGTGGTAAACTATATCTCTACCAAATCTTGGAACTCTCAAGCGATAGTGACGACCATGGCCCACATGAAACTCAACATAACGATCACATTGCAGAAATACAATCTGAAAAAAGTTTCTTTATTAACATACATCACAATTTTAAAGAAAAACTCCACTCTACCACTTCTCGTTCAGTGGTCCTAAGTTCAAATCCTAGAATCCTATTTAGTTCTTTTGTTTGTGTGAAAAACACACAGATTTAAACTGCACCAATAAATAAATGTACAATTAAAAATAATGGCTGTTATTTCAGGAAATATACATAAAACATACAATGACTATTTTAAAATTAGTGCAGAAAGTAGAATTAAATTTAAAAAATAGAAAATGCTTTTGTACTCAGAACAATAGCAAGAAAAGCATTGGTTTTAGTAAAACCACTTTTGTGCATAGTAGATTTAAGTTTTTGGTGCATATGTAAAAACAAAACAATTCTACTATCATTTGTAAAACCTAAAAAGTAATGCCTTATAGAGAGATAATGATATAGAAAACACTTTTATTCAATGGAGCTTTTGTGTTGTTCCAAATACATGGTTGTTATTGTTATTATCGCACATACCTATCATTTGGTCTATTAAGAGGTGCGAGTTGTCCATAATTTATTTATAATTGCCTTGAGTGCAAGGGTTATTTTGATATTATTTCAACACATTTTATACACAACATAAAAACCAATTCATTCATTCAACCAATTCTCACCTTTGTATAATCATCACTCAAAATTTCAAATGCGACTACTTCAGAATCCAAGCATCTTTCAAACTTTAGAGATAAGTTGTTAACATCAAAGCATTTAATCCTTGGCTTATAAATTCCAGTTGCCATTATATATTGACCATCTTTAGATGCTCTCAGAGATGTGCTTACTCCAGGCATATCAAACTCCTGAATCAGTTCAACTCTTCTTCTCAAATCTACATTTTTCTTTAAAAGAGCATGCTTTTTCCTCTCTGACAACCACTGAAAAAAAATATTATCAACTCACAGCATCCTTTATATAAAATGGCATCCATCACATCTACCAACATGTTTATGTAACATTGTCATAATATTATTTATCCATCATATTACAGTAAGCATTGTGTTCAATTTTTATTGTTAGTTAAGATTAAACCATACTTATTGTTTAAATTTATATTTATTATTTATATATTATTAACTAAACTAAAATTTCAGTTGTATGTTACATTGTAAATTATAATTATATATACACAAACAGTTGTTTTGTGTTAACATATATATACTACATACATAACACTATTAAGTATAAGTATTTTTGATGCCATGCATTCCAAAGTACTCTGCACAAATCTTTATCGAAAACTTACATCAGGAAGAGACTTTCCTGCACTTAGGTTGTAAATTTTAACATTGTCTATTTCAAAAACTTGCATTTTGAATATCTAACACAGAACATGCAGATATAAACTTCAGTCAAAAATAAAGTGAAGCTCTAATTAAATGAAAACGATCTATTCAGGTAATTGTAAACATATTATGAAACAACCAAAATAACCATGTGCGAGTGACAGACACAGTGTTGCTATCATTTTTTTTAATAATTTATGACCATGGATACAAGTTTTTCAGTCTTATACATAAATACAAATCTTAATCTTCTTGTTTACATTAGAATGTCGGTGTGACGCATTCTAATGTTTCTTGGAGTGTTTGGCACGAAATATATCGAGTTGGTTTTTGAAGTTATACTTCTTTAGCCGCGTTACGAAAAAATTATGAGAGTGAAATTTTCATCACTGTAACACAAAATTTTAACATAATGAAGTTAGCCACGGGCGCGTTATTTGTAATATTTTATTTTCCAAGTGACCGTGGGGCAGATTTGAACAAAGCAAACAGGGCAGATTTGAACGGGACATTGAAATGAAATGAAATGAAATGAAACGAAACGAAACGAAACGAAACGAAACGAAACGAAACGAAACGAAACGAAACGAAACGAAACGAAACGAAACGAAACGAAACGAAACGAAACGAAACGAAACAAAACGAAAAAATAGTGCCAAATTAGTGTAAAAATAAAAAAAATAGTGCCTCTTTAATTTAAGAAATAAAGACCATTTTTACTGTGTACGCTACCATGACGTCAATCTAGCGTACCCATGGCCGACCCCAAGAACGGCATATATTTAAGCAACAAAATTGACACACAAAAATAGTTCGCAAATAGTGCCCTGGCTTTACAAAATTTCATAATCAATACTCTTAAAGGACCAAAGATATTGAACTAAACATTCTTAGCTGGCGTCAACCTGGCGTACCCATAATAGTTCTCAAAGAAAATGAACTTTTCTCGTTATCTATTCTATATGGATAAATAGTGTGTCAAATAGTGCCTCTAACAGTAAAAGTATTTTATGTTAATTCGCAGTAAAACAATATAAAAAAAGCAATTAAATTATTTTTATATATGAAGTACAGTCATGTACAGAAGTGATAATATTTTCGTAGTATAGTAGGTAAGTAAGGTACTTAGTAGGTAGGTAGGTAGGTAAGTAGGTTGAAATTCTTATATGAATTTATGATTGGTGAATTCGAATTGAAATATAATATCTTTTTATAAAAAGTACCTATTTATTATAGTAAAAATACATATATAGATTGATATCGATTCTGACATGATTCTCTAAACCTAAACTTAAATTTGACAACAGTGCATCCCTGTCATTCTCTATACAGAATGAAAAGGTGAGACTGACCTTAAATTTAGTTTTAAGTTTAGAGAATCACGCCAGAATCGACATCAATCTCTTAGTGCATAAATTAATTTTGTGTGTAACTGTACTACAATACATTTGTTCCTAGAATTTAACACCCTCTTTATGTATTGTTGTGATGCGGATTCACATAAAATACTTTTACTGTTAGAGGCACTATTTGACACACTATTTATACATATAGAATAGATAACGAGAAAAGTTCATTTTCTTTGAGAACTATTATGGGTACGCCAGGTTGACGCCAGCTAAGAATGTTTAGTTCAATATCTTTGGTCCTTTAAGAGTATTGATTATGAAATTTTGTAAAGCCAGGGCACTATTTGCGAACTATTTTTGTGTGTCAATTTCGTTGCTTAAATATATGCCGTTCTTGGGGTCGGCCATGGGTACGCTAGCTTGACGTCATGGTAGCGTACACAGTAAAAATGGTATTTATTTCTTAAATTAAAGAGGCACTATTTTTATTATTTTTACACTAATTTGGCACTATTTACGCACTATTTAATGGCATAACGAAAAACCGTATATTGATCATGGGTACGCTAGCATCACGGACACTATTCGATACTGATGTATCTGTGTGTATGTATGATCTGATGATTGCCGTATTTTTAAATAAAAATTATCTTATTTTAGCAGTATTACCTAATTTTATTTATTAAAATTTATAGGTACAGTGGTGCCAATTCTAGCGTGATTCTCTAAACTTAAAACTAAATTTAACACCAGTCTCTCCTTTTCATTCTGTATAGGGAATGACAAGGATATACTGCTGTCAAATTTAAGTTTAGGTTTAGAGAATCATGCTAGAATCGAGACCAGTATCTAATTAATAGTAAACTACATTATAAAAAAAAGAAATAAAAAATTAACCTACTCATTAATATCATCGCCATACAGATTTCTAATAGACTTAAATTTTTCGTTGCCGTGTTTAATTAAACAATATTTATCCTAGTTTTTAATTTTCACACACATGTCACGGGTTGGCTGAAATTTTGTACAGTTTACATGATTTCTGATGGTTTGCTTCGCCAAGAGTTTCATTTACAGTCATAGTGGTGTCGATTCTGGCACGATTCTCTAAATCTAAACTTAAACTTGACAACAGTGTTTCCTTGTCATTCTCTATACAGTATGAAAAAGAGAGACTGATGTTAAATTTAGTTTTAAGTTTAGAGAATCACGCCAGAATCGACACCAGTATCTAAGTTATATTGCACGTGGATTCCCAGTAAGGATTACATTCTCCGTGCTAGAGATGGCCTAAACTACAATTTTATACGATGTTTTGTCGGAATCGTAATTAACTCTTATCATTATCCTTGTAAATCGATTCAAAACAAAATTGTATTGCCGTATATTTTTATATGGCAATGAAAATTGTTTAGATTTATAGACAATTCCTTATTAACAAAAAATTTACCAAACTATCCAAAGGTAATTTTATGCTGCAATTCAGAATCACAGTACCTATCTGTGTATAAATGTTTTATATCTTTTCTTTTGCTTAATAATATAAAACTTTAATTGCAAATATATAAAATTTAATGTGTACATTTATTTTTACAATCCAGGATCCTTTCCAAATTTCGTAATATTTCAGATTCCTTTATTCCGATATCGTTTCCTTAATTTTTTACTTGACATTGGCTGAACGCACATACCGTGCATGCTACAAAAAAGGAAAAAAAACTTGTTCTCTTGTTGGTCTGGGATAATCTCCCTGTATGAATTTCATCCAAGGCCGTTAAACTTAAAAAAAATCTCCCTGTCAAAAAATCATTTCGAGTAGTTTTTTTTGATATTTTTATTAAAACGCGTTTAATTCTTCTCAAATAAGACCTTTTCAACGGAAACTTGCTTACTTCGCACTCGGTGAGTCCGTAATGTAAAGTTTGTCTAACATTGAAACCGTGAAACGTATTTTCAAAATAACATCATGGCAAATATGAAAAAATTAGAACTACCGAAATCGGTTCTGGATATGAAGTTTATGAGGAAAGCTAAGGAACGGAAAGAAAGAGAAGTAGAAAATACTCAAGATCATCATAGTTTGTACTCCAATATTATTACTAGTGAAATGAGGCATGCAACAGGAAATTACATATCTGAGACCAGTTTCATTTTTTGTGAAGACTTAATAGAAGGAAGATTATCTTATAAAGGAATGAATCCGGAAATAGAAAGACTTATGGAGCTAGAAACAAAAAAACCAGAAATAGATGGAGACATGCAGAAGGATATATCAGATGAAGTATTTGTTGAAAAAATGAACAATTTCAAAAAGCGAAAACAGACTAGTAATAGCACTCCTAGTAAACAGCCTGTTTCTAAAAAAAAGAAATAAATATTATAATTGGATTTGCAATGTTTTTATTACTCTGCGCTAGTCAGGGACTCAAACAACCATTATGTTGATGTATTGTTGAGTTCTATCGTTTCATAAAATGTAAATATATTTTGTAACAGTTACAATATTTTGTTTGTGCAAACACTGAGGTGAAGTCAATTACATCGCTGCCACATCGCCGACGTCATAATATATTAGGCAACCCAGTTAACATCGCAACAGCCCGTGATGTCGAGTCAGCGCAATGTGCCACTGCAACGTGCAGTGGCCTACGTGACCTGGCGTCAGCGTTTCCCCGAGTCCCACGTTTTTCAACAAGAACTCGGCCACTTGGTTTCCAACATCGAACCAGTACATTACTTTTAGTCCGTAGTTATTTTATTGTAATTTTTATCTTTTAATAAATAAGTAATTTTAATTTCGTTTTTTTTGCATCCTCCGGCTGTAGACTACGTAATTGGCGCAGTCGGTAGGATACTCGCGGGCCGGTTCGCGATACATTTTTGCATAAATTTCGGGAATCGCGGGTCGCCCGGGCGGCTTCAAGCCTCGTCAACGAGTATCCTGAATCTACGGGAGCTGCAGCCACGCGGAGGAGGAGTATCAAGCAATCGATACGCAGAGAAACGAGATGAAATTGTGAGTTACACAGATTCTTTCTTGTGTTGCTTTCCTTATCACTTAAAGGTCCTTTTATTATCCCAAAATTTTTCATCCCTGTGATTTGGGTACCAGCGAGTCTGCGTTTAGGCAGTCTCGCAGGAATAGACAATTAGATAGCAATAGAAATTTAGATTTGTCTGATTTAAATTTAGAATTAAATACTATATTCACTTTGGAACAAAGTAGCGACATAAGTAGGTTAAATAGTTCATTTTTATTGAGTTCCGAGAGTACCAATTAGATATGAGCGCCGATCGACGATTTGTCGGCGGCGGCGCGCCGACTCAAAAGTGTCGGCGGCGGCGGCGTTTCGGCGGCGCGACTATGAAAGGCAGATTTTTATAGAAAAATCAATGAAATGCGTTATTTTCTGCTCAACCACATATTTATTTTAAATTATTTACAAAAAGAGATAAAATTAAATAAAAATCAACAAGTAAACACACCAAGTATCAATAGGTTTATATTATAACATTGCAAAATCAACTATTTTTGCTAAATAAGTCAGGTGCTAACATCTTTCTTTTAACATTCTTCCTAATTATACAGATCAATAAACACTGCACAAACAAATCTAGAGAAGAAACTAAACTGAGATCAAAACATATATAAAAATCTACATACATACAAAGAATATAGTAGAATAAAACGCGTGAAAACCTAAGAAACAAATAGAATAAGCTATAATATCGTTGTCTCAATTACTATCTATCTATAACCTTTCGAGTTATATTTTTAATCCTACACATGTTAAAATCAAATATTTAAAAAAACAAGAATTTACTTTTTAAGAAAAAAAATCAACCGAAATGTAAATTAAACCAAAAAGACGTGATCGAATGAAATATTAAAAATATTAATGTAACCGAAAATAAATCATACATCGTTTACATTAAAACAAGCATAACTAATATGGACTATGGAGTATCAGTTTTGCAGTGACCATAGTTGTCGTGTATAAACATTATACGATTTATCCTCAAAGGATTTAGGCGGGATCTTTTAGCTGTTATTATTTGACCAGTGACAGAAAATACCCTTTCACTTGGGGTACTTGTCGCGGGTACAAATAATATTGCACGAACCAACTTTGACAGAAAAGGAAACGAGACTTGTCGGTCTTTCCAGAATTCAAGCACGTTATCATTGTAGGGCTGAAGATCTTTAACTGTGGCTGTGCTGAAATATTTCCAGCACTCATTTTCGACATCGCTTTCCACATCAAATTGTGCGCTACTATGCAGCTTTGCCAAATCGAACAAGAAGGAAGTCTTAGAGGTACTCGGTTCAGGTGTTTTATGGCTTCCTTGGGCTGTTGAGTCAATAAAATCTTCGTCTTTCAGAATAGATTTTACCATTTTTGATAAAAATTGTACCTTGGTAGTCTCACGACTTTCCATGCATGCGTCAATTTCCTTGATTGAATGAAATCTGCAGTCTAACAAAGTGGCCGCTACAATCAGATCTGTGCCAGGAAAGCGGTGTTCCAATTTCTGCAACATATTATTCTTCATCTTGGTAATTACGACTGGCTCCCTATCGCTACACTCTTCCAATAATCGCCTTATCTCTGATTTAAAAACCAACGCCAAGTTAATCGTAGATTGCGATTCGGAACTCAAAATATCCACGATTGTTTTGAATTTTTCCAAAAATGTTGTTAGGTATAAAATCATATTATACTCGTTCTCATTGAGTAAAAGAGCACTGCGGTCTATATCTATTAGCATGTCTCTAATAGGTCGACGATTTGCACTGTGGGCAATGCTCGTCAGCATCATTAACATGCTGTGCCACCTAGTAGGCGTACTTGTCTTGATGGTTGGAGGAGCACCAGTAGTGAGGCTTGTTGTAGATAAGTCATCCCTGTCGTCATCTGCTGACGTGTTATCACTGTCATCGTCTGTGTTATCTGAATGTTCGCCAATTGTTTCAAGAGACAACAATAGTTCACGTTGTTCTTCGTTGGCGGCAGCTTCTAGTTGCGGTGCTCTGTATCTCAAATGTTTAACTATTTTCTTACATTTGGTGATCAATGAAAGAATCTCATCGGTACTCTGGATACCATCAACGGTGACCAGGTTATGCAAAGCATGTCCAAGGCAAAGATGATTCTTCATGTTTAGTAAATTTGCAGCTCTTTTCATATTACTCCCAGAGTCTGTCACCAAGACAATATCTCTCCGTGGAATTAGAAATTCTTGCAATATGTCATGAATTTCCTTTTTAATTTTTTCTCCAGAATGTTTCCCAGTAACTTGTTTTGTTGCCAGAGTAAACTTCATAAGGTGCATGTCATTCGAAATAAAATGAAAGGTACAGGTTATGTAATTACGGCGTCTGAATTGGTCTGTCCATAAATCTGATGTCACAGCCCCAAATTGAATGTTCTGTTGTTGAATTATGCCTTTAATATATGCTAACATGCTATTATAGACGTCTTCTAAGCCTTCTCGGGCAATGTTTTGGCGTGATGGTAGATCTTCATCCGCCACGACAATGTTATATTTTTTTAAAAAATCCCTCATGGCTTCATCATCTATGCTGTCGAATGGCATTAATGATCTTGCAAACCAAAGGGCTAGATCCCTTGCGAGCAACCGCTTGTCTTTTCTTCCACCAGCTTCACTGCTTTCTAAAACAGGCTTAGACTTTCTTTGGACGGAAAAAAACTCCTTGATAGGTACAACTTTTGCCTTTAGATGGTCTTCCAAGTTGTGTTCATCTTTTAAGTGGCGCAAAAGATTACTAGTAGCTATATTCTTGCTATAGACTTTCACGCGAGCTCTGAAAAAAGAAATTGTATGTGAAAAATCCACTATCAACTCATCAATCCACTATAAAATTTACAGTATCGAGCGCAGTGGAAGGCCCTTGTTGCCTCCATATGCCCCTAAATGGGGTCACAACCTTAGATTAAAACAAAAAGGGTAGATACGGTACGCTCATACTTGCATCAAACAAAAACTGATCCCACGGCAGCGCGAACGGGACGGCGAGATCCGCGTCACTGCATTACCGACCCGAACGAAACAGCACGTTAAGTTTCAACAGCAGCACGAACGAGACGACGAGAACCGCGTCACTGCACTACCGACCAATCACGCGACCAGTACTCGACGTCACTACCGAATAAGATTCAAAACAAACAGCAATTTTTATGAAAAAATATATTTTATAGTACTTACGAATGAAAAGTGATGCCGTGGGTTTTATTTTTAGTCCTTGAGCAATTTGAGCACTTTTTAAAAACACACTTAGGCATTGTTTTATCATATAAACACAAAATATTAGCAATATTTCTTTTTGACGTTCACATGTACGTCGTTTGCATGTCAAGTTGTGACTAAAGCGATTAGGGTCGTGGACCACAATTGGTGCGGATCACCATTGTGAGGCTAGTGCCGTATCTACCCTTTTTGTTTTAATCTAAGGTCACAACAATAATTGATTGAGTCAAATGTCACTGACTGTGTCCACCAGAAACAAAAAGAGCCACTGCACCGAGTTGCAAAAGCAGATAATCGCTTGCAAGTAGCCTAGGTAGCTGCGTTTAAGCAGACAGATATAACATTTAAACTTATTATAGGGTACTTACTTAGAAAACAAAACTTCACAATCATTATCTTTTTCACGTTTTAAGCACGCCCCGCAGAAAATTTGCTCTCCCAAAACTGTTCTTTTCTTCCCGTCGATATCTACAATTAACTGTCCGAAATAGTTCCAGCAAAAACTATGTTTTGATGAAGTTTTGCTTAATACGCTCACATTTATTTCACTTAACTTCGTCTTTAAAATGTCAATCTCTGTCGCCGTAACTGCCATTTTTACAACTCGCAGACGTGCGTACACCCGTAATGTTAGATTGCACTGATCGTGCGAGTCGCGACTCGCCAGCGCGCCGACGCAGTCAGCCGGCGGCGGCGGCGCGGGGGGGAGCGTGGCGGCGGCGGCGCGCCGGCGCGGCGCTCATATCTAGTACCAATATGGCGCACGATCCAGACGCAATTTATAAAGTTTTGCGCCCCGTCCCAGAGTTTGATGGGAACCCTAATGTTCTCACGCGCTTTATAAAAATATGCGACCAAATCGTAATAACGTATATGTGTTCGGAACCCGGCAGTGAATTATCCAATTTATGTCTAATAAACGGCATACTGAATAAAATTACCGGGCCTGCCGCCAGTATAATAAACGCAAATGGCATACCCGATAATTGGCTGGATATACGTAATGCACTTATTAATAACTTTGCCGACCAAAGGGACGAGACGGCCCTCTATAACGACCTCTCTTTGGCTACTCAGGGTCAGAAGTCCCCTCAGGAGTTCTACGACCATTGTCAGACCTTATTTAGCACCATCATGACATATGTAAGCCTGCATGAGAGCATAGCCACTACCATAGAGGCTAAACGCGCACTGTATAGGAAACTCACTATGCAAGCATTCGTAAGAGGACTGCAGGAGCCTCTTGGCTCGCGTATTTGGTGCATGAGACCTGAAACTATTGAAAAGGCTTTAGAATATGTTCAGGAGGAGTTAAATATTATGTACTTACAACAACGTAATGACTCGGTTAGTAAAATACCAACGACCTCAAAAATGGTCTACCCATCTCCCGTGCAAATTCCAAAGCCTTCACATTTACAACCGCCAGTAGCAGGGTGGCCTTCGCATACTATGCAAAGGCTACCACCACAACCACCGCAACCATTTAGGTTTGCGCCTCAGCAGGGGTTCAGGCCTAACCCCTCACAAAACCAGCATCAGCCACAGGTACGTATGCCATCTCGAACCCAGCAGATGTTTAGTGCTAGGCCGGCTAATTACAACCCCCAAAGCAATGTGTTTCGTCTCCCACAAAGGAATCAACCCAGTACCTTCGTCCCTAGACCCATGAGTGGTGTTCAGCATTTCAACCCCAAGCCGTTACCTCCCACCACTGGTCTACGTGGTCATGATTGGCGTACCCAAGGTAACCCTCCACCTACAAATTATTTTAAAACTAGAGAAATGAATATGAACGAGTGTTATGATGGTAACTATTATTGCGACTATAATTATGACCCCTACTATGAATACCACTCACAGATTGACGAGACTTACGATTACAATAACTACAACGATTACTCTAACTATGAGGTGACCGAAGTAACTTACCCTTGCCATGAGAGTTCTGTAGAATATCCTAGTAGTAGTAACGCTGAAGATGATAGCTCTAACGACCCCCAGAATTTTCAGACGGATCAGAAATCAAAAAGGCTAAAATAGAGATAAATTTACAAACACAGAGGCAACTACCATATATTCAAATATCAAACCCGCCTTTAAAATTGTTAATTGATACAGGCGCTAACCAGTCTTTCATAAACCCACAAGCCATTGAAACATACTATTCTGAAACGCCATTAAACTATGATCCTTTCGAAGTTACAAATGTCCATGCAACTACTAGAAATAACTATTCAATCACATTACCTTGCTTTCCAGAATTTAATGATAATGAGAATATACGCCTCTTTGTCTATAATTTCCACGATTTCTTTGATGGTTTGATAGGACTTGATTTATTGACGAAATGGGAAGCTAAAATAGACCTAAAAGACAGGACCTTGATTACACGTTCTATAGTGAACCCAATTAGAATGTATAACTCTAGAAATGTCAATTTATACGAGGACATTATTCCTGCTCGTAGTTCTAAATTAGTAAGATTACCCATTAATGCCCCGGATGGCGAAGTTTTTATCCCTGAACAAATGATCTGCAATTGCGTTATAGTTGAGTGCTTAACAACCGTGACCAACAGCCGTGGTTATCTAGAAGTTCACAACCTAACAGATAATGACGCAATACTTTCATTAGATGATTTTGTTAGCGCAACCGTATTTAATTTAGAATGCGACGCGACAGCATCACGCGCAAAAGATGTAATATCACGCTTGCGAACTGACCATCTTAACGAAGAGGAAAAAGTTAATCTTATCTCCCTGTGTTCACGATACGCGGATGTTTTTTATATAGAGGGTGAACCGCTGTCATTTACGAATAAAATAAAACATCGGATCAACACCGCCGATGAGATACCGGTTTACACAAAAAGTTACAGATACCCTTTCATACACAGACAGGAAGTTAAAGAACAAATCGAGAAAATGTTATCTCAGGGTATCATACACCCTTCGGAATCAGCATGGAGCTCGCCTATTTGGGTCGTACCTAAAAAGGCTGATGCCTCAGGCAAACGGAAGTGGCGTATCGTGGTAGATTTTCGGAAAGTTAACGAAAAAACCATTGACGATAAATATCAGATACCTAATATAGCTGATGTCTTGGACAAACTGGGTAACTGCCAATATTTCTCGACCTTAGACCTGGCCAGCGGGTTCTATCAAGTAGAAATGAACCCTGCTGATATACAGAAAACTGCCTTTAACGTGGAGCATGGGCACTTTGAATTTTTACGTATGCCCATGGGTTTAAAAAACAGTCCATCTACTTTTCAAAGGGTGATGGACAATGTTCTCAGGGAGCTCCAGAATACCATCTGTCTGGTCTACCTTGATGACATAATTGTTTTCAGCACCTCTCTCCAAGAACATATAGTAAATTTAGAAAAAGTATTCCAAAAATTACGGGAATCCAACTTTAAAATCCAAATGGATAAGTCGGAGTTCTTAAAGCTTGAAACGGCATATTTGGGCCATATCATAAGTAAAGATGGAATCAAGCCCAACCCAGACAAGATTTCAGCTATACAAAATTACCCTTTACCTAAGACACCGACCGAAATAAAATGCTTTTGAGGCCTCCTTGGTTACTATGGAAAATTCATCCCCGACTTCGCGAAAATCACCAAACCCATGACTATGTGCCTGAAAAAGAACAAAAAAAATATTTTTGATAAAGACTATATTAACTGCTTTGAGAAATGTAAAAAACTACTAACTAACGATCCAATACTTCAATATCCAGATTTCACCAAAGAATTTGTGCTTACCACCGACGCATCTAATTTCGCAATAGGAGCCGTGTTATCCCAAGGGCCAATTGGATCTGATAAACCAATCTCGTTTGCATCTCGTACTCTCAATGAGAGCGAGATAAATTACAGTACCATTGAAAAAGAATTACTCGCAATAGTTTGGGCAACTAAATATTTTAGACCATACCTTTTCGGACGTAAATTTAAAGTTTTGACTGACCATAAGCCCCTCGAATGGATTATGAGTTTAAAAGAGCCCAATTCCCGTTTAACAAGATGGCGATTGAAACTCAGTGAATATGACTTCACTGTAGTTTATAAAAAAGGTAAAAGCAATACAAACGCGGATGCCTTATCCAGAGTAGAAATCCGTAACGAGGAGATCAGCTCTGTGGTTGCCAATCCTTCTGAGAGGCCACCATCCATAGATAATTCCGCTACCCACACAGCCCATACTAGCAACGAAAACCCAATTCTAGAAATACCTATAGTAGATGAGCCCCTTAACAAGTTTCACAGGCAGTTAATTATGACTATAGTAGATGACATTAAAAAACGACCGGTTGTGACCAAACCATTTGAGACGCACACCAAAGTGACTATCCAAGTGACAGAATCAAACTTAGAGACCGACGTTATTAACGCCATAAAAGAGTACGTTAATCCCAAAGTAAGAACAGCATTATTAATTAACCCACCATTAGCAATGTACAAAATTATACCTATAATTCAAGATAAATTTAGAAGCTCTTCCATGAATCTAGTTTTAGCAAAGAATGAGTTAGAAAATGTTAAAGATTACCTGAGACAGCAGGACATTATCAGGCATTACCACGACGGGAAGACAAATCATAGAGGGATAAATGAATGTTATCTCGCGTTATCTAGGAAGTATTATTGGCCTAAAATGCGAGATCACATAACAAAATACATAAACGATTGTAGCATCTGTGGCCAGAGCAAATATGATAGAAATCCGATAAAACAGCAATTTCACGTAGTACCACCAGCCACCAAACCTCTTGAGATAGTTCACGCAGATCTTTTTATCGTACAATCCGAAAAGTTTATAACGTTCATAGACGTTTTCTCTAAATATGGCCAAGCCTATTATTTAAAAGATGGCACTGCAATAAGCATATTGCAAGTCCTCTTATCATATTGTACTCACCATGGTCTCCCTTTAACGCTCGTCACCGATAATGGCACTGAATTTACTAACCAATTATTCGCAGAATTTCTGAAACTTCATAAAATAATTCACCATAGGACCTTACCTCACTCCCCTAACGACAATGGAAACATAGAACGTTTCCATTCAACGTTATTAGAACACCTTCGCATCCTAAAACTTCAACAGAAAGACGAACCAATAGGCTAGTTGACCCTTTTTGGAAAAAGGTTTTAAATGGTTAATAAATGTTCTATTAGACCGAAAAAAAATGTATTGTATTTTTTTTAAACCTAGAAAGCTACAAATCTCTAATTTTAAAATAGACTTTTCATGGACATACAAAAACGCTGTCGGCCATTTTAGTATATAGATTGTCTATGCTATGACGTGAACTGTGGTAAACAAAAACTCGTATTAGGCTAGTTGCCTAAATTTTAAAAAGTGGTTAATAATATAATTTGGTGTTTAATTTATCCCAAAAAAATTTTATTTTAAATAAAATCATACAGTAACATTAAGTATTTTGTATTTTAAAAAAGTAATTTGAATTTTCATCTAAAACGCTCAAGACTGTCATGGCGTCTTGAATGACGTCACGTCGTGCAAAACCAACAATACGCTGTACGTCGATTAGTAGAATTATTTTGTTAAAAATGAATCCATCGTATTACAAATACTGTATAGTGCCCCAGTGTAAAAGCACAAGCATAAAAACGCCAGAAAAATTATTTATATACGTTCCAAACAATCCACAAATGCGTAAAAAATGGCTAGAACTTGCAAGGAGGGATCGTATTCATTGCTCAGACCAAATAAAAAGTATTTATTTGGTCTGAGATTCATTGTTTATCAACAAAGTCAAGAATGTATTTTTGTGAAGATCATTTTAATGTAAGTATTTTGCATTATATAGTCTATGTAAACTAAATATTTCACAAGCCGGATAAATTATATTGCATTAAATTGATAAAATAATGATAATAGGTTGAGGTTATGTTAGTTGATTTAGTATCATGGTATGATTTAGTCTATTTGAGATTTAGTATATTTATTCATAATAAAAAACACTTCTTATTCTTGTTCTAGTTGCCAAATGACATGCTTAATTACACCGAGTATCATATTATGGGAAAAGTTTCACAAGTGCGAATGAAACCAGGTTGTACCCCAAGTAAATTTGAATGTCAAGAAGATAGAAAAAAACGGACATATAGCAGCACAGAACGACCATACATATTAAAGAAACAAAGAATGATGACAATAGCAGAGTGCCTGAATGAACCAGATGAAAGTAATACAACTCCTACACCAAGTTCATCTATCACAAATACTCAAGGTGTATATAAACAACACAAATTTTATTTTAAACAACAAGTACTTACCCACCCAGTTCAATATCATTATGAAGCTTTTATTATACTTACTTATTTTATGTTACTTATTTTTCAGATTTTCAAACAGATGAACAAAATGAACCAGTAATATGTGAACAGAAAGCAAATAAATCTGTACAAGTTTTAATAACACATAAATTTAGAAGCAAAGCTGTCCAGATCAATGTAAAAACAAAAGAACAGGCATTATCACCTGTTAAACCCTCAATAACATCTTGTTCCACATCACCATTTAAAGCTGAGTTAATAAAAAAATCATCAGCTTCTGTCTCCAACCTACACAGAATCACAAAAAATTTACAGGTTGAAGAAGAGCCCTCTGACAGTGACATTTCAATGTATACTGCATCTGTTAGCTCGCAATCATTACAAGTAAAATCATCTTCTGATTGCAGTGAATTAATTGCAGAAGACAGAAAGCTAGAAGCTAATAAAATGCTGTTAAATACAATAAAAAAATTGAAAAACGACCTAGTTTGTACATTGGTGTTCCAAGGAGCTGTTACTTCTTGATTGATTTATTAAAAGATGAAATAAATATTCCCAAGCATCACTTATTGCTCTGTTTAAATAAAATCAAATTAGATCTTAAATTTAATCAGATGACAGATGATTATGGAATAACTCCACCGCATTTAAGTAAAATATTTTCAAAAAATATTCCACTTATAGCCAGCTTCATGCGTCCTTTTATTGTGGAGCTAGATAGTAATTCAATTAAAAGTACCTTACCTATGGCATTCAGACACAAATATTATAATGTGAGTTGCATAATAGACTGCCTTGAAATAGAGGTACAAAAGCCGTCTAAGGCAGTAGATCAAGCTCTCACTTGGTCCGATTATAAAAAAGCCAATACAATAAAATATTTAATATCCTGCACACCTAATGGCTTAGTAAATTATATCTCACCTGGATTTGGAGGCAGAACAACTGATACATGTGTGGTTGAGTCATGTGACTTTGTAAAAACATTAAAAGGTGGTATGGTTGTTATGGCAGACAGGGGATTTAAACACATAGAGCAATATCTTAGAAGTTCAAATATTACATTAGTAAGGCCTCCAAGTGTTGAAACAGGAGTGAAGATGAGCAAATCTCAAGCAAAACTTACGAAACAAGTGGCTAGCCTGAGAATACATATAGAAAGAGTTATTCGGCGCTTACGTGAATTTTATATGCTTAAACCACATGCATGTATTAATTTCAAATTTGTAAAAATTCTTGATGAGATAATAATCATAGCCTGTGCTTTAATTAATTTGCAAAATTCCTTAATAAAATAATACACTAATAGAAACTCCAAACTTGTATTTTATTTATTTAAGATACATACACTCACTCTACACTCTTATATAACAAGGGATATATATAAATTTTCCAAAAATTTAACAATTTATTATTAATTAAGTTTTCAACATAGTCAAGATTTAATGATATGTTCATAATAGTAACATTTTTATTTTGACTATAGTTAGGGTCAGCTACACAGAAATAACAGTTATTCTTCTCTGACAAATACATTTGAAGCTGCATTTGGGCATAATATTTTTCTTTAGCCTCTCCATTTTTTATATAATTTTCAAAAGTCTTTGTACTATTCGGACATTTAATTTCGATAATACCATCTTCCAATATTCCATCAGGGGAACCAGCAATCATTGGATATTTGGAGTTTAAAAATAGGCCACACTTTCTAATTTTCTTTTTCAACTTTTTCTCCACTGTCTTCCTTACATCATCTTCTAGGACACGGCCACGTTTCATTGATGGCGTATCTGGAATTTTGCCACCTAATATGAGGCATACAAGTGTGCCATCAACTGTATTACATCGGCTTACTTCAAATGCTCTAGAGGCAGTTATTCGACCATATCTTTGTTCAAACCAGAGATTGCTACCTGATTGTGCCCTTGTTTCTTCTTCAACTTTCTTTATTACAGATGTTGTTAAATGTATTTTTTTCAAAAAATCTTCAACACATTTCTCCTTCAATTTATATACAAGTTGATGCATTGAGACAGCCTGTGTTTCACTTAAACAATAATTTGGTTGATATTTTAAAAGTTCACAGTCTTCAATTTTTCTTTTCCTTGCCTCTTCCAAAAACTTATTGAAAACAGACGAATTAGGCGGTAACACTGAACTGCCCTTAGACAAGTCTTTTGCTGTCATGTATTTTAAACTGCTACCAACTCTGGATAGCTTAGACTTTTTCCAGTAGCATTCTACCGCAGTACATGATGGTTCCTCACTTCTGCGATGAACCCACATGAGGAATGCAATCGCATGCTTGCAGCCGCCCTGTGATGCTATACAGTCTTGGCATTGGACAGAGATAATGATACCATCTTCTTCATCAATAACCATTGTACATTCATATAATTTGGCATGAACTTTATGTTCCGGACATATTTTGCACTTTACAATACACATTTTAGTTTCTCGCTTCAGCTGCACATAGCTTACGGCATCGTCTCCATAAGAAGCTCGAGAAGATCTGTAATAAAGTTTATTTTGTTTATACTTCATGCGTTTAACCTCTAAATATGTCAAAGAAATGAAAATATATAGGTAGGTAAAAGACAATAAGTAATCTAGTACACTGAAATACTGCTAAATTTATCATAAATATTTTACACTTGTGCATACTTACATTGTAGTTTTAACATTGCGGAATTCCGATGAGCAAAAGTCGCTATTTGCCGCGAAAAATCTACCAAGCATAACGGCATCAATTTTGGGTAAATTATTGCTATTTGCTTTGGTAAATCCCGATTCCATGGCTATAATATGCTTCCTTTCAATAATTAACTAAGAACAAAGTGATAAATTGTATCAAAGTGAGACGGTGACATAAACAGATTCATGAAATGAACAGTGTTGCTAGGTCCGATTTTGGAAAATCGGGAGGCGTTATAGAAAAAAAAACAGTAGATATATGGAAGGAGCTACAAGAAAAAACAGTAGAGGCGAAGGGGGGGGGGTCTAGAATTGGTAAATCAAATCAAGATATAGGCCAGTAACGAATGTATTTCTGTGACTTCTCGTTTTTTTAGACAATGACATTTATTTTATAATAATTAAGGTTACCTACATTATTAATGTCAGAAAATGCAACTCAACATGCAATTTAAAATAGAAACTCATATTCTAAGAAAAACAGTACAACAGGAGAAATTTCAGAAAAACAGGAGATCTCCTGTAAAATTGGGAGACCTGGCAACACTGGACATGAATGCCAAATCAATCAAATCTATGAAAACTTCAACCACAAACGTTTTACACGGCGTGACGTCAGTCTTTCTGATTGGTGTTTACTGTCACGTGACCTAATGCCTATTTTTTCCGAATTTATTTTCTAAAAATATTAAAAATCGTTAATTATTATCATAAATAGCTATATTTTTTGTTATCTGTATATCATAGTTCATATTTAGAAACTGGCACCCATCCGATTTATTGTTAGTTGACACAAGCCTATTACTTTTAACTGAGTTTATAATAAAAAAAAACATGATTTCTAATAAATACCACGAAAAATAAAGTAATTATCATTACTGTATTGTACGAGAATATAAAAACACATCCTTGAAGACTCCAGGAAAGTTGTGGATTAAAGTGCGGAAAGAAATTAACCTACGCAACTTTATTACACTTATTCATATGTTGTATCAGTTTTATGTTTATTAGTACATTGGTGTCGATTCTGGCATGATTCTCTAAACCTAAACGTAAATTTGACAACAGTGTATCCTTGTCATTCTCCATACAGAATGAAAAGGAGAGACTGATGTTAAATTTAGTTTTAAG